TACTACATTCACTACATTCATGTTAATTTATATAACATGAATTGTAAAAAATGTGTACTGTATGTAGAAATCGTAGATTAAGAGAACCGCCCCTGAGTGTGCCATTCTTTTATTTCATTCATACTACATTCATGTTAATTTATATAACATGAATTGTAAAAAATGTGTACTGTATGTAGAAATTAACATTAACGTAGATTAATAAATGCTGTAAAAAATATCGATCATTATAGTTCATAATACTAAATGTGTTTATTAATGTTAACAAATTGAACCTGTTACCACTGCCAATCATAAGTCTTTTTCCATCAAATATTTTTTTTTTTTTTAATGAAGGCATGAGAAATAAACAAGCAATTGTCAGAGAGGTAAACCCAGCCATCTTTCCTGACCTGTGTGGGAACACAACTTGTCTGTTACTGTTAAAAAAGACTTGTTTGATAAGCCCTTACACGCTTGGCCCCCTTTTCCTTCCTTTCATTTTTTGTAGGGTGAGCAGATTTTCATTTCTTTCCTGTCAACATGACTTGCTCTCCGTGTGAACTCTTTTCAGTTTCAGAATGCACAGCGGAGCAGAGGATCAGGTTGTTGTTTTTTTAGGTAAAATGAAAAGCCCACTTTCATTACATGCATGATCATGGTACTTGTGGTTAATTTGTGTTTTTATTGTGACATAAAATACATACACTTAATTATACTGGATCCTGCATTAATCCTACTGAAATTGTTGTGGGTCTCTATAGAATCGTTCCCACTATTCATTTGATTAGCTATGGCCCCGTGAGCTTGTGCATGCTGTATACATGCTCATGGGCTGATGACTTTACCTCAACAGCCCAATCTTTCTGAGCACTCGTGCACACTGGTTAATGCCCTGTGAGACCAGGCAAGTCCAGCTGCACCAGCAGTGGCTAATGGACTAAATGTGATAATGTTACAATCAATACACTTACGTTAATGCTAACCACACTAGCTCCCTACGGGCATCAAATACACTTGCTGTGTTTACAAATAAGAGCTTCATGCTGCATTAGCTGGTAAACCACAGCTCTGCATTTTCCCAACATTCAATCTGAGATTGTTAGAGACCTCAGACCGTGTTGGTTGACTGTGCAGAGAAACAGACACTGGTATCTAAATGAATTTTTACTTAATATTCACTTAAACACAAAATATTCAGCTTGTTTCATGATTCATATGACTCAATGTTTTACTGAATTTCTCTACTCTCTAATCAGCCTATACGGATGAGCACCAGTTGGTTGTTCATAGAAGACATATAGTTCAACACTTTTAATAACATAATGGTATATTTATTTACGACTATGTCCCAGATATCTGTCAGTAAACTGGTCAACATGCTGTTTATTCATCGGTCGTCTGTTTATTCACTGTTATTGGTGCAGAGTAGGGCTGTCAAAAAAAAATTAGAATTTCGAATATTCGTCGAATTTAAAATAAAAATCCACATTCTTTGCTTTCGAATTTTAGCTGTTTTTGTTAACGTTTTTGTTAACTGCTGCGTTGTTCATTTAAAATATTGCGGGAAAAGAGAACGTCAATGCGGAGAAGATCTTGTTTACGTCAAAACTGAAACCAAGCCGTTCACACAGAACGCATATTTCGCGCATTTTCTAGAGGGACATCTATCACCGTTGCACTTGCATCTCGCACAAAGGAGCCGCATGTTTAGAAAGCCATGTAAAATTAATGCAAGTTCAACTTTGAAAAAATCTTGAGACTTTATGGCGGGTTTTTCCCCATCCCACTGCAACTCACGTTTTTAAATGAAAAATGTACTCTGTGTGATTGGTGTTCGGCCCTTTGTATTAAACTATGCACACATACATGAAGCTGTTTTGTTTATAGTTGTTTAAGCAACTTAATTATAATTAGTTTATAAACATTATTTTAAACATGCCCTTTTTTTCACAGATAGTCGTGTTACCTGATGCTTTGAATAAACGTGCATTAGTAATATTTTGCTCGATGCGCCCTCTTGTGGCCTCAGGAGAGAAGCCAAAAGCTTTTCTTCACCCTAACTGAAATTATGCATTTTAAATTCGAATATAATTCGAATTTTGATCATATTTAAGTAAAAAATTCGAATTTAGTTTTTCAGCCATTTTGACAGCCCTAGTGCAGAGTAATTATCATGGATGCCATTATTGATTGCAATGATTAGCCTGCAGGCTTACAGGCAGTTTTACAATCTTTAGACCGTTCAAATGTGAAAAATACTTATCTGCAATAAGTGCAATTATACACGAAGGAGCTGTTTGGCTGACAGAGTGATCGACCAGTTTGTTGATCAGCATTTATAATACCATATCCTAGCTATTATACACAGTCTATCTATTATGTTTTTTTTAATTATTATTACTATAATTTAATTTAATTATTTAAATAATTTTAATTGACAGGTCTTCATAATCCCAAAAATTAGCCTTACAATTAGATTGGACATTTTTATTTTGGAGTGGCATTTTTATTTGCAGTATGCTTTAGATGATCTGTGAATGGAAGTACGTTTTTCAAAAGTACAAAACTGTTCTAGGTGTGATGTATTGGTGTAAAAATAATTTTTTTTTATTTTGCTTTGTTTAGTACAGGGAAGCTCAGTCTAGCCACAATGTTATAAATAACCCCACCACTACAATCCAGCCTTTTTTTTTTTTTTTTTACAATTTAGTTGCTGCTTCTGTGTCTGCATTATAAGGCATATTCACATTTCAAACCATAGACATTTCATTTGACAGCAAAGTAAGTCATAACAAACAAAGAATATGGCAATTTTACACCACATGGAATGAATTTGCCTTTGGTTTGTAATTCTCAACTGTTGAATCCAGACCGATATCCTCAACTTTACTAATACTTTGAAATACTGTATAGTAAATGTGTTTTTCTTGAATATTCTGTTATGTTCTTATTGCGTGTTAAATGAGCATAATTGAGAAGTAAACATGGTTTTTACATTTCATTAAAGACTGATCAGCACTTTTGATACACTTTTTTGATAATAACAAGTCAAACATTCAAATCAAGTATTAAATCAAATATTAGCCCACATTAAAACAGCTCTTAAACGTTGACGTTTGAGATGTTTTCTGTATTTATTGACAGACAAATGTTTTTAGACACTGAGTGAAGAGGAATTAGACACATTCACACAACTTTTATGTTTTTTTTTTATTGATGTAACATGCAGTTTTCTGTATTTTTGGACTCCACGGGCATTGTTTGTGCTTTCACTCTTCCTCTTTTATTCTGTCCTTCATTTTTTCTGCCCTCTCTTTGTTCTCTCTCTGTGTGGTTGGAGGGGAACATGACTAATTCTGGATCATTGTGGTATTTATTATTGCACTTAGGATAATGGGGCTGCGTTTCAGAGCCAGAGAAAGAAAGTGAGAGAGATGATGGGATATTATGTATTTTTGTCCAACCCTCCTTCCTATTTTCAATCCCTCTTGTCTGAATGGGTGAGCATGCTCCGCCCACCAATCGCATTGCTTTCCCTGCCACCTCACTCCCACCGGAAGAAATGAAATAGCACTAAATTTATGTGCATGCATACACATGCACACAAAATGGATACGCATTCTTTTGTGTCGCACAGTTGTGCACAAAAACACACACGATGGTTCATTAGGGCACACAAAAACCACCATACGCACTCACATGCACACGAAAACAAACGTGCACACTGAAATTGAAATGAGATTCTGTAATGGGGCGGCCAAAACCCTGGGCCATGTTACGGAAGACAGAGCCATCACCGGTGGCCCTGCCGTCACTGACATTGAACAGGGGAAAGAGGACAAGGAGAGAGGGATAGAAAGAAGGAAGGAAGGAGGAAAGTACAGAGAGATTGGCTGGAGCAGTGATGTGGTAGAGCAGCATCTATTGGAATTTAAAGACACTCAGGAAAAAAAGACACAAAACACAGAAACTGCATTTAGCTAATTCTTTGATAAATGTGTGATAGACTATCTATCTATCTGTCTATCTATCTATCTATCTATCTGTCTGTCTGTCTGTCTGTCTGTCTTCTATTTAAAAAAATTTCTATTGTTCTATCATTATATGTAGTGTTTTTCTATTGTTCGTTATACTGTATCCTTTGTTAAATCATTTGTTCTATCATATCATTCTATTGTTTGTTCGTTCTATTGTTATGATTCATTCTATCATTAAATTGTTTGTTCTAACATTCTGTTGTTATATCATTCTACAGTTTGCTCTGTCATTCTTTCTATTATATTGTTCGTTGTATTGTTATATTTAGTGTTTGTTCTATTGTTTGTTAAATCAAATGTTTTATCATATCATTCTATTGTTTGTTCTGTTGTTTGTTTTATTGTTATATAATTCATTCTATCGTTAAATGGTTTGTTCTAACATTCCATTGTTATATGTTGTTTTTCTTCTATTGTTCGTTATATCGTTCTATTAATTGTTTTATTATGTACATGTGACATGGAGTCAGTGGTTCAACCGTAATGTTATGAAGTCACGAGAATACTTTTTGTGCGCAAAGAAAACAAAAATAACGACTTTATTTAACAGTTTCTTCTCTTCCATGTGTTTTCTCTTACAAGCAGAAGAATGCACACACAAGTGTCGTGGTACTGTTGTGAATGCAAGTCGAAGACTGGCAGGGAAGAGAAGAAATTGTTGAATAAAGTCATTATTTGTGTTTTCTTTGCGCACAAAAGGTATTCTTGTAGCTTTATAACATTACAATTGAACCACTGATTTCACATGGACTATTTTAATGATGCCCTTGCTACCTTTCTGGGCCTTGAACGTGTCAGTTGTGTTGCTGTTTATGGAGGGTCAGAGAGCTCTCTTGATTTCATCAAAAAGATTTTAATTTGTGTTCCGAAGATGAATGGAAAGGTCTTACGGGTTTAGAATGACATGAGGGTGGGTAACTAATGACAGAATGTCCTTTTTTTGTGTATGTGTGTGTGTGAAATAAATGAAAGAAAAATCTGATTGTAACAATAGAGCGAAAGAGAAAAAAGGACATACTTTCTGCTTCTCTGTGCCCACTAGTGTAATCACAGCAGAGAGACAGATGCTGTTTTTTTTCTGAGTATGTGTGGTTTACATACAGTGTTTGTGAAAACAGTACATAAACTTGCACTTCGAATCTATAGAAACACATGAGTGCACAAATATTTTAAGATGTTAACATGTCAGCTAAAAGTAATAGAAAACACACATGACTGACAGGCACAAGTCAGTCAAAGATCATGCTCATTTAACATCATACCAGAGCAGGTATTGCAGGCTGCATGCTGGTTTGCAAGAGACAGACGGAGAGGGAGGAGGGGATGTACAAGCTGCTGTTTGTTGCATTTCTCGTATTTTGCACGGTACAATGACTCATCTTACTCATTACTACAAAGAGAGTGGTTGGTGGGGGAGCCCAGGGACAGGTCTGTGAAACCAGTGAGCTTTAGCTGCTTGAAACAGTAGTTAAAGTTATAGAGTATGTGTGTGTGGGCACCAGCAGGAGAGAGAGCGCACCAGATCTGCCTGTCATCCACCATTCTGATATACATACATCTCGTGCTGTATTCAAGGCCAGAGCAGGCACTTCAAACACACCCCCACACACACACACAGGCTCTACAGAGCGTAGTCGCACCTCAAATGCCACAGAGGCAGAAACCGCACCCCCGCCCTTCCTGGACATGCCATGCTAATATATCGAAGAGGACACAGTTACGCACACACATACACATGCTCTGTAGAGCACAGTGGCTAAAATCACTTTAGCACTCAAGCGTTCAAAATCAATAGGTCCTTCAAACAGAAGTGTCCATATATACCCCTGTTAAGGTGATTTAAGGACACAACAAAATAACATATATGCGTATAATTATCTATCTATCTATCTATCGTTATATCGTTATATCCATCTATCCATCTATCATTCTATCTATCTATCTATCTATATATCGTTATATCCATCTATCCATCTATCTATCTATCTATCTATCTATCATCTATCCATCTATCTATCTATCTATCGATCTATCTATCTATCGTTATATCCATCTATCCATCTATCTATCTATCTATCTATCATTATATCCATCTATCTATCTATCTATCTATCTATCTATCGTTCTATGGTTCTATCATTCTATCTATCGTTTTGTTGTACTATCTGTCGTTCTATCATTCTATCTACCTTTCTATCGCTCTATCCATCTTTTGTTCTACCTATCATTCTATCTGTCTATCATCTGTCTATCATTCTATCTACTCTATCTGTCTGTCATTCTATCAGTCGTTCTGTCATTCTATCTATCATTCTATCTACCTTTCTATCATTCTATCTATCTATTGTTCTATCATTCTATGGTATCTATTGTTCTATCTATCGTTCTGTCGTTCTATCTGTCTATCATTCTGTCGTTCTATCTACGTTTCTATCATTATCTATCTTTTGTTCTACCTATCCTTCCTTCTGTTTATTGTGTGTTCTATCATTCGTTTGTTCTTTGTATCATTCTATGTGTCTGTCTTTCTATCTATCTGTCTTGTATCAATCGTTCTGTCTTTCTGTCTGTCAATAGCCTGTTTATTTGATCCACCTGATGTTCTGTCATTTGTTCCGCCATCTTTTCTTCTATTGTATCTGTAAGCGATGTAATGATTCTCTATACAAAATTGAAAAGTACAGTTTGCCACACACAGAGTGGTATGCATTTGTTCCATGGTAAAAATCCAATATAAAATCTAACTACACGTTTGGGGCATCTTGTTTTGCCGGTAGTGTCAAGACTGATAGAATAGATTGTCTATCATTCTAATAAAGTAAAAAAAAAAAACATTTTCTTTTAGGGGTAAGGTTCAATTTAGTGCTGTAGTAATTATAATATAGCAATAGGCACATACTCTATGTATCTTGTTCTGCTTTGTAAATGCTTCTTTTTCTGTGTCCAGGTAGTTTGACCTCATGGTGAAGCTAGTTGAACTAATGAAGATTTAATCACACAGTGTGTGTGTGTGTGTGTGTGTGTGTGTGTGTGTGTGTAAGTGTGTGTAAGTGAGTGTGAATTGGGGTGTGGGGGTGGCAGATGTCAGAATCACAACTTATGGAGTTATCTGCTGCTGTAATACCACTAGGGTGACCTTGAGATGTGTGTATATGTGGGTCAGGTTTTACCTACATTGTGAGGACAATATATCCTCACAAGGATATTAAAACCTCAAGTTACCCATGTTGTGGTAACAAGCTTAAGGGTACATACTAAATACTTACTTTATAAAATGGCAAAACAATTCGTGAGGGGTTTTATTTGGGGGCAGGTGATAGAAAATGCCATTAGTTCAATATTAAAAAATAAAACTGAAAATTATAGAATGCAGTAATAGAAAATCAAACATATTTGCGGGTGGAGGCAGGGTATAGTGAATATTTCAGAGAATCTTGTAATATTTATTAATCTGAAAAGAAAGTGCCCTGTTGTCATTTGTCTTTTTTGTACGTGTACAAAAAAAACTGAGTGTGATATACTGTACACACACATGAATCACCTAAGACAGAGAGGAGAGTCTCTGTAAAGGTCAGTTGAACACTATCCTCTACTAAAGCTACATAAATCACTTCAGAACACACACTTACACTTAAACAAAACAAACAACATATATCACTCGAAACCAGTACAGAATTGCTACTGTTCATGTGGAGTATCGCATACTCTTGCATGCTTATCGTATTCTCTTGCATGCTCGCTGTACATGTATGTGTTGATCATTTTTATTAGTTCTAACCTCAGAGAAGGAGGGGTTACCCCTGAGTATTATCGTTAGTGGAAAATAATGAGAATCATTTTTCACTATCAAGGCTTCCCTTTCTCCCCTACACAACATACACATGCTCCCCAGTGGCCAGATGCTTGCAATTTCAAGTCTGTCGACTTATTTACATCTCTGCAATCACAGAGTTATATGCATATTCATATAATCAGTCAGCACAAAAAGACACCTACACTGGCTTGTGTGTGTGTGTGTGTGTGTGTGTGTCTGAAGCATGTGTTGGTACATGATCTGTAGTCTCAGCTCCACTTGGCATGCCCATGGACCATTTACTAATAGTCTGATGCATATTGCATTCAAAAGCTTTCCCAAAAGGCATGTTTCATTCTTATTGGCTGTCTTTATGTAATTCCACGAGTCAGGGTGCACCGTTTTGATCGATCTGCTGTGATACAAAGTCCTGGTTATAAGTTCCCAGGCTGCTACAATTAGCATTTCCAAAGTTAAATTAATCGCTAGAGTGTCCAGTTTTAGTGGGTTGCTATACAGTTGCTAGGGTGTTCTAGTTGTGTTCCTGAAGTAAAAATTCTATTTGTTTTCTCCATAGTAATGCTTCTGTTGAAGCCATCTATTAGCATATGACATACTATCAAACTACTGTGTATTTGTATACAATGCAGTATATATAAATATCTTTCAGTACATTTAAAATATATTGTTTTTATACTACACATGACTACAAATCAGTAGCTTTCTATTGTACTGTCATTTTTTTATTTGATTATGTCTATTTGGTTTGCCTCATGAGATGAGGCATTCATTCCCTCATGAAAGCCTTCTACCTTTTGTCTCTTTTTTTTCCCCCTGATTTTTATAAACATGATTTCACCGGGTGGAGCTCCCCCTCCAAAACATGATCTGAGCACATCTGAGCACAACAAATATCAGATGAAGTGAGTCATACTGTTTTTATCCACTTTTAACTTTTAATATTTGGTATGTCCACCTTTTGCAGCAATTACAGCAGCGCATCTTTCTGGCATAGTGTCAGTATATTTTCTGAGAACTTCAACACTAATGTTATCCCATGCCTTCTGCAACTCAAGCCAAAGGCTTTCATTTTGAATATACAATTGATCTGTCCAGTTTATTTTCCAACTTGCCCCGAATTTGCTCGATGGGGTTGAGGTCTGGACTTTGAGGGGGCCAGTCCATCATTATCAATGTTGACAGCAGATTCCTTCCATCGCAGGTAGTTCCGGGAATAGTTTGTTTTATGGGTATTGTAATGGCCAATTCAACAAAAACAACTGAAACCTCTTAAATATGCCAAGTGTTCTAATAATATTGGCCACCATTTCATTCAGTTCAAGGTTTATAATCATGCTCATCTCATTACTGGCATGGTTTGGTCATGAATTAGAATTCCTTATTGAGACACTTTGAAATCTCCATGGAGAAAGTTATTATAGAACCAGCGTGACAGTATGGAAGAAAAGATCTCTTGTTACTTCAATTTTATAGCAACTTTGAGATGTTTCACCGATAACTGACATTTTGCTTTATTTTGTGAATCTTTGATTTTACTTTTCGACCTTCAGACACTCAATTGTAACTTTACTGTTTTTTGGTTTTGGACTTTTGCACACCTAATGCACTTTAAGTTGCATTAAAGTACAAAATGTGCAATACTTTAGCCAATCAGAAACTCGTAGAGTCTGAGCATCGGTGACATTTGCCTTTACATAGAGTGTAAGTGAATCAGGCTCCTGGTGTCATGTTATATTATTCAAAACAGATGGATAACTACACAAACCTATCAGCAGTGACATTGATGACAAAAGCACTCAAGAGAGACCCTGTGCGCTCTCATACATCTGTTTATGTTAAACATACCCGCCCACACTCAAACACACACACTCGTCCAGAGATGACAACCTCTCTGATCAGTCCCCGTCAGTCTAAGATCTGCCGATTGCTTTTCACATGAATGATGCACCGATGGTAAACTCAAGTGCCGGGCCTTGTCAATATTACACCTGACAACACAAACTCTGTGACCTTCAAACAAATCAGATCCACTTAAATCCTCTCAGCATCAACCCATGTCATGATTATTTTAATTCTGTGACTTAACGTGACACATGAGAAGGGCTACTGTCTGCAAACACAATAGTAAAACTTTTCTGTATGCATTCAACATTGTCTGTAGGCTTGATTTTCTTATCATCAGGCTGATTTTGTTGGACCTTCCATTAGGAGAGTATTGAGGCTTTGCTTTCAGAGTGATTGCAGCAGTTGGTCATTAAACCATTTCCGATGTTTGCTGAAGTGATCACTGACAGTGAACATGAGTGTGCATAATAAGCATGTTGGCTAGCTCTGTCAAAACTTGTCAAGTCACACCATCTGTTATGATATAGTCTTGTCTCAGCCATGAGTAAACACACACTATTTACTAGCTTGCATCACAAACAGCTGCTGACTATATGTGGGTGTGTTTGAAATAAGGCCATATGATATGTTTGTATCATGGACTGTATTGTAATTCTCAGTTCAATCAGATTCTCCAGACTGATTAAAACAGGTAACTTGTGATTTCATGAGTCATTTTGAATGATTCATTTAAAGAACTAGCTCATAAATATGGTAGTGACATGAAACCTGAGGATACACAAGAACTCTTTTTGATTTAGATACGTTTGTGTATTTTTAATATAAAATGTTTATTAATCTATAATTGGCTGCAAAAGCACCAGTGGCGAGAAGTGATTTTATACAGAAAGTACTCTTTTAAGAAAGTAGTCAATTTTTTCACCAGTACATTATTAAGTGAAATAAATCACGGAAATCCACATTTTTACATTTTTTTTTTCACTGCAAAAATGGACTGCAAAGCGCCTGTAGTTAAAATTAGTTAATATTTTATTTAGTTTATTAATTAAAGGGATAGTTCACCCAAAAATGAAAATTACCCCATGATTTACTCACCGTCAAGCCATCCTAGGTGTATATGACTTTCTTCTTTCCGAAGAATCCAATCGGAGTTATATTTATAATGGCAGTGAATGGGTGTTGAGATTTTAAGGTCCAGTAAACTGCATCCATCCATCATAAAAAGTACTCCACATGACTCCGGGGTTTAATAAAGGCCTACTGAAGCGAATCGATGCTATTTGTGTAAGAAAGATATCCATATTTAAAACTTTATAAACCATAACCTTCCGCTAACTGTATGGCTTGAGGGTGAGTAAATCATGGGGTAATTTTCATTTTTGGATGAACTCTCCTTTATTATATTTAATTTTTAGTTAATACTTTATATGCTGTTTGTTTGTTTTATATAATGTTTTATCTTCTTGTAATTGTACATCACATTGGTACACTATACATTTTCAACTGAAGTTAAAGTGTTACCCTAAACTGCAAAAATACTGTTTCACTTTTGTGACTGACAGAAAAGAAGCTTCTGGGTCTGTTTTCAGTGCTAGGCTGCTGTCGGCCTGATTGAGTGGAAAAAGGATATTAGAGAGAAAGACTCGGATGAGGTCTGGGAAAGAGTCGCTGGCACCATATCTGTGAACAGCTCTCAGTGGGACCAGGCTCTCCGTCTTCATTGAAGTCTGTACCAATGGTAAATCCTTCTTTAGAAAAAAAGAAACCTTGGCAGGATGCCTCTTTTCTCCCTGTCTCTCTCCTTTTGCCTCACTTTCTGGAGCATAAGCAACTAATCTCTATCTGTTTCGCTGTGATATGACAAGCGAGCTATTGTCGCTGTAAAGCCATCTGATTGGCTGAGCAGCTATGTCTCATTCAGCACGTCTCCATGTAGTACGGGAACTTACTGTTAACCTATTAACAGTTTTTTTCCGTAGCGTTTTTACAAAATTTTACAGTTAAAATTACACTTATTTTTTACAGTGTGGGTCTCTTTCACCCCTCTACAGCTTTCCCTCAGTTTGACTCTGATCTGCTTTCTGTTCAGCTTTCTGTTTCCTGCCCACGTTCCCATTCTCTACATCTCTCCGTTTCTTATCCCCTCACTCATCTCCGTCTCAATCTCTCCAGCTTTTCTCTTCTCACTTCATGAAGCATGATGATGCTAAAACCAAGAGGAGTTTTTCTTTTCGCCTCAGAAATCAGTGTGAAGTGTGAAATGCTGTACTGACAGATACTTCTATTGTATTTCTAATAGCTAATAATATATTTTCCCCTAATTCTATACCAAAACCTCATACAAACCTTTCTACATTTTTACATTTTCCATTAAAGGGGGTAGTAATATTTTTATTCTGCTTGGATGCATGAAAGTCAAAAGTGACATTAAAGAAATTATAATGTTACAAAAGATTTCCATTTCAAATAAATTCTGTTCTTTTGAACTTTCCATTCATCAAAGAATCCTGGAAAACAGATGGTACCAAACCAAAACAAAATAAAATATGAATTGTCTGTCATCATTTACTCACCTTAATGTCTTTCCAAACATGTATGTCTTTATTTTTCCTGAAGAACACCAAATAAGCTATTTCGAAGAACCATACAATTAATTTTTGTCCAGGCAATGAAAGTCAGTTGGGTCTAAAATAACACTGGACATCACTGAAAAAAAGACGTATCTTCTTTTGTTTTAGAGAAGAAAGATTTGGAACGACATGAGAGTGAGTAAATAGAATTGTCATTGTCTTGTGTTATACTCCTTTAAGACATTTAGTATGCTTCTTAAGCCATTTTCCTTGTGGACTATTGGCTGCTTCCCACAATGTAGGTGATTTCAGGTTTTACTATCCATGCGAGGACATTTGGTCCCCACAAAACCTGAGCCACACATGCACACACAGCTGAGCTGGCTGCTTTTTTAGGCAATAACAAGACATGATTTGCTCCTCAGTAGACTGGAAGAGGCAATTACATTATCGGACCTTAGATGGATTTTAGAAATCGCCTGAATAATACTTCTGCTAAGCCTTTAATCCAGATCGTGATAATGGGATGGTCGACTCCCTCAGCATGTACTTTTATGAGACTTGACCTTCCTGTTACAGTGATGGACTGCAAGAAACTTCTGGTCAGCCATGACTAAAGCTCCATAGATGCGCATAGATGCACAAATTAGCTTGTTCAATTGGCAAAGTTGAACTAGGGTTATCCTTGGGTCACCATGATCTCCATTTCTATTGAATTATCCATCTCTCCCACCTCCCTCCCCAACATTTCTGTCTCTTTCCATGTAATCTATTCATGTCTGCACTCCTCATCACGATCCTTTCATCTCATGGTTAGAAAATGTTTCTATAACAGCAGGCCTTTTTAATCATACAAAAAATAGCCTCTGCCTGTTAATCCTCTGACCAAATTAAGCATTTATGTAACACTCTCGAACTCCTTCAATTAAAAATAAAGAAATAAATCACAATTTTAAACGGCTCTTATTGAGGCTGGAAATTTGGCAACGGGATGAAAAACGCTCAAAGAGAACAAGTGAGAGAAAAACAAGAGTCTCGCAGAAGAACAACTTTCATAAGCGCTTTGATCTACTGGGAAAAAACTTGTCAAAACTAATTCGCAGACCGACTGTGGTTCTCTCCATTATAGTGGCACAAATCATGTACACAAACAGATGAGGGAGAAAACCCCATCTGAACCTCACTCTGTGTTGATTGTGCCGTTTGTCATGAGGCTGCAAAGGCGGACGTTTCTCTTCTTTCCACCCCACGGCTGAGTGCCGGATTGAGCGATGTACTGCTCACAGAGCTGTAATACATTGCACAATGACTCTCATCAGTTCATTTACTGGGTGAACAGACATTGAGATGTTATATTATGTAGCAGTGCTGCTATCTGCCAGTTAATAACTAGCCGCAAGCTAGACAGACTGGACACACACAAAAGAATAAAATGACACACTTGCTCATGGTCACATTCAATGACTTCTCTTCTAAATTTATTTATTTATTTCTTTTGTTTTCTTTTTTAGTGTCAACTGAGTCCAATTTGAGACATGCAAATTTGATTACATGTGGCACGGGTGTTGATACTACTGGCTGGAACCAGATTCTAGCACAGCTTTATGAGTCTCATCAAGGTCTTTATGGTGGAATTTGGTAGATATTGGTTAGTACTTATGACGATATTTAATGTAGTTGTTCTTATTGGTTTTGGGATTTGAGAGAGAATAAAAAGAATAAATAATTGCAATAATCTCCTTTATGAAAGACAATAAAAATAAACAGTAATAATATCAAATTCAGTAAATGTGCTAGATTTTGTTCATAACCCTGTAAAGCCTGACATCTGAAATAATAGAAGAAAAATATTTTTATTTTAAATGGAACACTTTTTTTTGCACCTTTAGACAAAATATGAAAAGAAAATCTATGTTAAAAAAAAAGAATGTGTGTTTGAATGTGTGTTTTTGTTGAGTTATACAGCATTTCATACAGACTTTTATGGCTCATATAGTGTGATGTAGGGGAATATGACAAGCTCACATTAAAAAACACCATTCTAATAGGTTGTAATGTGAGATTTTATAACAGTATAGCAGACAGTTTGCATAAAGTGAATACAAATATTAGTTGTCTCTCTACTTCTCCCAATAATATGTTTTAGAATCTTTTAATGCTTATTGTTATTATCAAAGCCCTGTAGTTGTACATTGTATTGAAAAACATATAATGCAATGCAATACAATGATAATTGAGATATGTACAAATAAACATTCCTCAAAAGCCTGATGTATGATATTTGATACTCACATTTCAACATGATTTTTCTAAAAATGATGTATGGATAATCAAGTAAACCTAAGTTGGTTACTTGCTTGAAAGTATAAACTCAATCCAACCTCAGAAGGCATGTAGCAGATTGTGCACAACACGATTTTTAAGCAAAATTTTGATCGTGTATTTAGAGACCTTGGAAATTTGTGTAGCAAATATAATACAGTATCTCTCCTCTCCACCTTCCAATTTCTTTCCTCCCTCGATTTTCCACCTTCTTGCTTTAAGACCCAAGTTTAAAATGCACTAATTAACTCTATTTAGAAGCAGCAACTCTTTAAGTATAACTTTTAGAAGTAATCATAAGTGGCCGGCGTGCATGTCTTGATGAAAGACTGTAATGTGGATGAGGCCGTTTGCAGGTGTTAAACTGATTTCCAGCAGGGACCAGCAGCCAGTGAATTGATCTGAGCAGAACTGTGAGTAGCAGGCAGAGAGCTGAAAGCAAAAGGATGCAAGCACGTGGCAGCGAGCATGGACCCTTCCTCTAGTTAGTCGCTGCTGTACTGACATGCATGACACGGGTCCTGCATAAACACACTGGAGATCCACTGCAACAAGCACCCTCTCAACACTGTTACTGTGTGAAGATATTGTGGTAAAGTAAATTATGGAGAGTGTTACAAAACACTTCTTTTTTTCTTATCTATAACTGAACATTTCCATCAGCATCCTCCCGTCTCTTCTCCTCTCTTTGATCACCTATATCTTCTCTCTGTCTGTCTTAACTGAGCTCTGTTTAGCCCTTACACTTAAATCAGTGTTCTTTTGATTGACAGCTCAACAGATGGGCCCTGTATTATCCCATTAAGTAGATACTGAAACAGCTGGAGTCATCTCTTTAAAACACACAAACCCACATGCAGCTGGACACTGGCAGAGGACGGCGCTCTTATGATCCCCCTGCCGTTTGTCATGAGGCTGCAAAGGCGGACGTTTCTCTTCTTTCCACCCCACGGCTGAGTGCCGGATTGAGCGATGTACTGCTCACAGAGCTGTAATACATTGCACAATGACTCTCATCAGTTCATTTACTGGGTGAACAGACATTGAGATGTTATATTATGTAGCAGTGCTGCTATCTGCCAGTTAATAACTAGCCGCAAGCTAGACAGACTGGACACACACAAAAGAATAAAATGACACACTTGCTCATGGTCACATTCAATGACTTCTCTTCTAAATGTATTTATTTATTTCTTTTGTTTTCTTTTTTAGTGTCAACTGAGTCCAATTTGAGACATGCAAATTTGATTACATGTGGCACGGGTGTTGATACTACTGGCTGGAACCAGATTCTAGCACAGCTTTATGAGTCTCATCAAGGTCTTTATGGTGGAATTTGGTAGATATTG